CAAGCTCTTCCTTCTTAAAGCGGTCAATGTAGGACTGCATGCTTTCACCCGGCTCTTGCTTGAGTGACATCAGAGAGACTACTTTCTTTTGGCATCATTTACTGCTGATGAAGCGGGCGAGGAACAAAGTTGTAAATTACTCCCACGAGCTGACGGATTGAGGAGGGAGGTTGGAGAACCAGCGGAAAGCGGCCCCCCTGAAGGTGGCCTGGAAGGTTTGGCACGTCAAGGCATTAGAATACCTGTAGAGTATCATGAGCACCCTAAAACCCTCCAGGTAATCATTAGGGTCGGTGCTTCCGTCATACGTTTCCAGTGTGGGAGCCTTGAAGTGTGGGGGAAGAGGCTCTGAAATGATTTCCGGGGTGAATGCGTCCATGCGGCCAAAGGAGTTGCCATGACTGGTTGAGGTGTCGGTTTGGCTCTGCTTAACCTAGTGGAACTCATCCTTGATGGCCCCAATCTCGGCTTGCAACTCGACAAGCCCCGGTTCAGCACGGGCATGGGCCCCGCTTCACCCTCGCGGACTCGGTGGATGTCGACTCGGACTCCCGAATACTCTGAGACAGGATCGTGCGCTCCTCTGCGAGTGTGACGATCATTCAGAACATCCCAGAGATTCGAGACGGGAGGGGGAGTGGCGTGGTGTCGGCTCTCGTCTCGAGAGCGAACTCTAGGGCGGTCTAGATGCCCGTCGTCGTCCCAGGGGGCCTCCCTCCAGCGGTGGTGGTGTTGCTCTGAAGGCTGATGACTATCTTCGGATTGAGTGGGCATGCTTTCCCTTCGGCTATGAGGACAGGTGTTCCTTCGTGGTGAATCTGGGGGACGGTAGTTGCCCGATTCTGATGGCTCAACTAGCGAGTTACCATGGTCGAGGGCTGGTGGCTCGACATGCTCATGACGACCCTGATCCTCTAACACCCCAGTGGGGCGGTCGCCTTGGGAGGGACCTCCTGCTCGGGGGCAAACTTCTTCCATGCGTTGAGTAAGGCAGTCCAGACGCTCGAGGATAGCCTGAAACTGTTCATAGGTGACCAGATTTTGATTGTTCCTGGTTTTCTGCACCATGGCTTTCAAGCTTAAGAGGGTTTGGTTTTAGAGTATGTTGTTTTTTTTTTAATCCTAAAGTGGGGGTCGTCTTAGCAACGTTCCCACAGATGGCGCCAATTGTTGCCGCACAAATTGGATGGGGGCAACGAGGTAAATTCACTCTCCAGGTTTTGAATGTTGGCCGAGGACTTTGAGGCATCGGAAGAGGTGAGCCGAAGCCGAGGACCGTAGGTTGAGGCGAGGTATTCATTCCGAGGACTATAGGTCGAGGCGAGGTCTCTGGTGACTAGAGGTATTGCAAGACAAGGAATGTTAGAGGCCTTGGGCAGGTACCCGAGGCAGAGGCTCCGACGCTCAAGTTAGTACGAGGTGTAAAGTAGGAGAGGGTGCAGGCGAGGTCTTGGCAATAGTCCTCGGATGCACCAGATCTCCCGGAGTAAATGCTAAGGAAGCAAAGTAGGTGTAGGGAGTAAATGAATAAGCTATGTTAGAATTTTCTGTTCTCGATCCCCTTTAAGGGGGAGTTACCTCTTATTTATACTTGAGCGTGCTGGAGGTAGGTGAAGATGAACGCTCTGTATGGAAGTTGTATGAGGTCAGGTGGCAAGCCCTGGTGGGTATGTTTGACCATTATGCGGTTAGCTTTGTACGAAGGCAGCAGGGCTCCATCCTGTTGTGGCTGATGCTATCAGGCATTAGTGGGCTGGGCCAAGCTAATGCACATCGTATAATTCTAAAAATATGTTTTTTTTCCTCTAGGTCTCAGGTAAGCGGTTTTTGACAAAAAAAAGGTAAGTGTTCAACCATCCAAATCAAATAGATTGCCAATAACACATGTCAACATCAGCTTACGGGTTGGTTTTTAAAATACTGGTCCAAACTTAAAGGGGAGATAGACCATCTGTGTTTGGTTTGGAGGAAAAGGTATGGAAATCAATACAAGTATTGTACAAATTTTTTCTTTCTTTCCCTATCTTTTCCTTCAAACCAAATTTATCTCTCTCTCTCTCTCTCTCTCTCTCTCTCTCTCTCTCTCTCTATATATATATATATATATATATATATATATAATAAAATTGGACGGTTCATGTCAGTATGCTCTCTTTGCTCAAAACCCCCTTTTAATTTTCTGCTTTTATTCTACTTAATTTGTTAAAGGGTAAGTTTCTTAAACTACCTTTATGGTTTAGCTAATTGACTAAATATACCCTTACTGTTTTAAAAAATTACCATTACTGTTAAAATATTAACGAGAGAGTTGAAATACCCGTTTAACCCTTACGTGAAAGCTCCTTTTTTTTTATTTTCTTGCCAATGTTTCCTTTTGTGGTTMAGGTATGTGGCTTTGCTATTTGATCTTTATTTGGTTAGGATATTTTTTTTTGCTGCACTGGTAGGATATTAAGACATTTCTTTGTTTGCCTATCGTTATGTTTGGTAAACAAGTACAGTAATCATCAATTGTAGTTTGCACCAGATTTGTTACTTCCATGAACTTCAGTGAATCAATAAAATTGCTCCCATGGGTAAAGAAGCACTTCCCATGCTCATATAATACAAAATTTATAATTTTATGCCTTCACTTACAAAGATGTTTTTTTTTTTTTTTATCAAATATGTTGCTTCCTTTGCAAATTTGACAAAGGACCCAACYTATATAGGACACCCAATATTGAATTCTTGTCTCCAATTTTTGAAATCAATGGTCAATTCTTTGCTATATATACAATATAAGTTTCTCCAATGGCAGACACACAACAAATTGGTTGGGTTTTTGGAAGTTTAAAGGAACAAAGCCTCTTTAGTAAGTTGGTTTCTAATTTTTCTTAGTTGTGTAATTGGATTCATATTAGTGTCTTTGAAGCTCCCTACCTGGCCCAATATGATTTTTTTTTTTTTTGCATTTCTTCTATTTACTTACAAATGTGATGTGCTATTACTTGGGGATGTTTTTGAAAATGTCTTATTTTGGGTATTTCTATCTTTACTTATTTGTTCATAATAAATTAGAAAAAATGAATAACAAAAATGAAACATGAGGTAGCTAGACTTACCCGTAATAGTTCCAAATGGACAAGACAAAATAGAGCACATTTTGGTTTAAAAATTTCTATAATAAACCAAAAACCAGGTGAACACTTGCAGAGTTAGAATCTCAATTTGACGATAATTTCTATAATAAACCAATAACTAGCTCCCTAAAACTTATGAGAAGCAGGAGTCTTATATTTATATCATTTTTTTTATCAAATTTATGTGTAGATATTTAATGACAATTTACAGTTTTCAGTGATTTTTCTTTCATGGCATAGATTTGCGGTGAGCGATATGTAGTATGTTTGGATGCTTCATTATTGTTGCCATTCTAATGCTTTATGGTTTGTATGTATTGCAATTAATTAATTAATTAGCTTTGAGTAGAAGATAACCATAGACCTATCAGAGTTAGAGCTTAGGTACTTGGAGAATGAGGAGAATATAATTAAAGGTGCAACCATGGGTTTAGTTGTAGGTACCATGCATTGTTGCTGCTTGGTATTATTTGCCAGGTGTTGAGAGAACTGTTGCACTTGCTGGATTGATAAAAACCATGAATATGACGGATAGTTAATGGGCTGACCTTTGCTTGAACTGGAGGAGTTTATATAGATTTGGAGCAATTGATACAGAAATGAAGAGACTTTGATAAGGAGGAGAGATGGTTGTTTTGATGTTGGAGTTTCTACTTTGGGTCAAATATAACCATTTATTCCCTCCACAACTGGTATTTTTTCTCCTCTTTGTAATGTACAATAAAACAGTCTAATTCAAATTAAGTTGCTCTAATACTAACTTTGCACATCATCAATTTTCTTTTATTTGTCAATTTTATAGGAAATTGGCCTCTCACTAGGAGCTTGTATCTCTTGAAAAAAAAAGTTTTACATTTTCTCTTAATCCCTTACGACATGAACATGATATTGGATATTGGGCTTTCCCGTGCATCGCAGGGGCCCCATTAGTTAAAAAAATAAAACCATTCCACTGTTGAAACTAGGGTTGCAAGTCGGGCCAGGTTAGGTTGGGTTGAGGCCAACCCTAACCCAACTCTAAGTTCTAAACCCCCAACCCTAACCCTAACCCTAATCCAACCTGACTAACCCAACTCTAACCCTAACCTTAACTAAATTCCTTCAACCCCAACCCACCCAACCTTCCTTCCATCCCTTAAAATCTCATAGAATTTCTCGATTTTAGATCTTAACTCAACTTTCACTACATATATTAATCCTATGTTTCATATTATTTGTGTATTGACGTTTTTTTTGTTCTTTTAGTACACAATTCAGAAAAACAAGTGTTAGAAATGATAATAGTTTATTCTGAGTTATGATTTACAATAGATTTTTATGGGCATCAAACAACAAAGAGGAGATGAAGAATAAAATTTTCAAAAAAATATAAAATAATGTTATTAAGGTTTTAGTCTTTCTAATTAAGATGAAGTGAAGTGATTATCTTAAAAGAAATACATGATAGTATATGGTGGCTATACAAATATCATGCATTTAAGCAAATCAATATATGTTATATATTACATATAGCATATATTTATATATGACATATACTATAGAGTCAGGTTGCCTAAGAGGTCAACCCTAATCCAACCTGAAGTAAAATTGGGTTCATGAATTTCAACCCTAACCCTAACCCGAGAATTAACTCGACCCAACCCAGCCCAATTTTTTTGGATTGGGTTCTGGCCAACTCGGCCCAAGTTGCAGCCTTGGTTGAAACACCTACACCGAAAGCAAAGCCCTTTTTTTCCCGTGACGATACGCGGTTTGGTGGGTCCCACCTGGCAGTTAAAGAAAGGAAAGCTGCTTTTAATGTAGGAGGCCTTACTTATCAACCGTCTGATCAACAATCCAAACAGACGGGAGCCACACCAAGCATTACGCGGGAAAGAAGATAATCCGGGGACGGAGAAAAAAAATTGAATACGGGAAATGGCGGGAAGTTCCGACGAATAAATCCCAGTGATCGATTAGAATTAGATCACTCATCAGTCATCACTGGAGAGTCGTTTCATTTGTGTGATAGCGACCCCTTCAAATGGCAAAGAAGAAGAAAACTAGGGTATCCCAGGATGGAGAGGATCAGGGGATTCAAGAGGATCTCACCCAATCTCCCAACAAAGAAAAGAGCTTGTATGAGGTGATTGATTCTCCCCTTCTCGCTCTTTACTATTACTTTATGGGTCAGCTTTGTGAATTTGGTGTTTCATCTGATGGATCCTTAATGGTTTCTTTTTTACATTAATTAGTTTCCAGTCGTTAGTGCGCCATAGATTGAGAGTTGAGAATTAGGTCTTCATTTGCTTAACATATACGGAAAAATTCCCTTTTGCTTTCATTTTGTTTCTGTTGGTTTTTTGATATCTACGAAAAGGATTCATATGTTAACCTTCCTCCTGGTGCTTTCTCCTTATTATTTATTCAGTCATGGGTGCCACTGGACTCCTTGTCACATCCCCTTGGGTACAGACACTGCTTACTCTATCTGAAAAACATAATTGGAAATTCTTTGTTACTAATAAACATCAAATGGGGTTGTCTCTTAGGCAGGGCTAGCTCAATTATTGTGGTGGTGGGGGGGGGGGGTTAGTACATCTAGTAATTCATAGAATATGGACCGTCTTGTAGTAGGCAATTCTCTTTTAATCTTCAAGTAATCAATGTAAATAACTTGATATCTATTCGGCATGAAAAAGATTTCTGAACTCTGAAGTGATTTGCCTACTACAACATGTTTTGATCCTCATGCTTCCCCAAAATCTGTGTCTCTTGATTATCTTCTTTCGTGCATACAATAAGTGTTGAACAGACAATTTGGCTTTGTCATTGTATGCGTATTTTGTTTCTTGTGTATGGTTTTATATTTGAGCTTTTAGAAGAGAAAGATGTGTATTTTGACAATATGATGCTTTCTTAGATTCTTGGCGTGGAGAGAACTGCGTCACATCAAGAAATAAAGAAATCGTACTATAAACTGGCATTGCGTTTGCATCCAGATAAGAATCCTGGAGATGAGGTGAGTTTTTGTTTCTTTGAATGATGCCACTCACGAGTTGTTTTCCGTGGTTTTGATTATTGTGTGAATTGTCCATGCTCAAAGTGTGCTTTACTTTTCTGCATCTTAGGAAGCCAAAGAGAAATTTCAACAATTGCAGAAGGTGATATCCATTCTTGGGGATGAAGAGAAAAGGGCCTTATATGATCAGACTGGTTGTGTTGACGATGTTGTGAGTAGCCTGTAAATCTACTTTTGTTGTCTGTGCCTTTCCAGTTGGAATAATGCATTTTCTGACCAGGAGATAGTTATTCCCTTTCTGCATCTGTTTCTTGTTGACTTGTTGTGATTAGGACCTTGTAGGTGAAGTTACTCAAAATTTGCACGACTATTTCAGGACAGTGTACAAAAAGGTATAATTAAATTAGTGCCACCAAGGCACCAACTGTATTGGTTTAAGAGAAATTTCATTGACTCCTGTTTTGCTTGTGTTGAATAGGGTTATAGGTAAACTATTTATTTGTTGTAACTGTAGGTTACCGAAGCAGATATTGAAGAGTTTGAAGCAAACTACAGAGGGTCTGAATCCGAGAAGAAGGATTTGAAGGATCTATACCAGAAGTTCAAGGGCAATATGGACGGGTATAGGTTCTTCTGTTGTGCAGCCTTTACATCTCTTATGGTACACTATCTTGGGCTATTGATATCTAAAATGATTTTCTACAACAGGCTCTTCTGTTCAATGCTCTGTTCGGATCCCAAGCTGGATTCACATAGGTTCAAGGATATCCTTGATGAGGCCATGGCTGCTGGTAATGATTTCTTTCTAATACCATGCTGCTATCTAGAATCTTTACAATATGAATATTCTCCTTTGTTCAGGAACTTCTGGTGTACTCTGGATGATATTTTATGTATTTTGAAACCATATTGGATAATGTTATAAATTTATTTATTTTATTCTTTTTTATCAACAGGAGAGCTTAAAGCAACCAAAGCCTACCAGAAGTGGTCTAAGCAAGTATCTGAAACAGAACCACCTAGTGATCCTCTAAAACGAAGGAAAAAGTTAGTTATTTCTCAATTCAGTTGTACATTAATCTTCTACTTGAAACTTGATCCTTTCTAACTAAAACTGCCTATTCTACAGACCAAATGAACAGCCAGAATCAAGTCTACTAGCAGTTATTTCTCAAAGACGAAGCCAGAGGAAGGAACAATTTGATTCCATGTTTTCATCGCTGTTGGCAAAATATGGTGACAGCACATTACATTCCGAGCCCACTGATGAAGAATTTGAAGCTGCAAGGAAAAAGGTTGAAAGCCGGAGACAAACTAAAAATGCAAAACACAAGTAAACAATTGGCAGCAGGCTCAGAAATTTTGCGTTTCAAAAGGAATCTGTAAATCATGGCTCTTGTGGATAGAACTCTTTGTGTGAAGTCCTAAAATTTGTTTATTTTGCCATCTGACAGCATGGCACCAAGGTTCATAATATCGATACACCCAATATGATGGTATGGGTGTATCGGGTGAATTGATACTGTTTTTTTTTTTTCTGAAACTGGTTCAGGGGAGATGGTTTAGGGCTCCTCTATCCCCTGAACCGGTCAGACCCCCAATAAACCCACTATAGGGGTGTATTGGAGGGGTCCTGGAACGATATGTATCGGCCATTATGGTATCGACCGATACATATCGATACTTTGAACTTTGCATGACACTAATTTGTTTGTTGGGGAATTTGTAAATCTATGCATCTCTGTATTTTTCTTTAGTAATTAAGGCAGTATTCGGTATTGTGGTATCTACCACACTGGGGGAGTGTTTGTAGTGTGGTCTCTATAAGGTATGGTGTGTTTGAATCAGTTAGTGTTGACGTAGTATTGTTAGCAAAATTTTAAATAAAATATTTCAATCATTTATTACACGGGTTCCACTATGATGTGGAAAACGTCTGATCAATCAATTGGAATCATAAATGTGGTAATTTATCAAAATTCATGGGTGTGAACTGATTTATTAGATTTGGTGTGGAAGAAAAATTGTGATATTTCATATTAAAAGCCATCTACAAATGGTTTCAAAACATGCAATATGCCCGCACCCCTAAAAGAATGCCTAAATGATAGGGGTGCAATTTGGATTGGCCTGATTTAACATTTTGGCCCACTTAAATATTGACAAAAGCCCAACCCAAGCCCCACCAAGTTGCACCCCTACCTAATGGGTTGGATGTATTTCAGAAGTCAGAACCAAACAATCATATCCATAGAGCACAGTTCTTAACATCCCCTAAGTTTAGGGCTTACGGTGACTACTCGGAATATTATCAGAAAGTTTAACTCTACTCTTACAATAGAGAGAGAAGAAATATGGTTTAGAGGATTGAAAAGGGAAATTTGTGCTTTCCTCTCACTCTCAGTGCACATTCATTGCTAAGCTTGATGTCATCTATTGCCACATAATTATGATTTTCMTTTTGGTTAGAAAGATAATCATCATATACCCCTTTCTTAAATGTTTTGGGGAGCCAGGGAGTAGTAGTAAAATAAATGGACCTAGGCCTGTTGATCTGGACCTGTCCCGATAATACTTGATTAACTTGTGGTCTCATTTCTATAGCTTCAAAGGAAAGAAGAAACAGACCTAATGTGGCTTTCCATATGTCAAATTTTGAGCAATGACTCAGCAAGAAAGTGATGGTTGTTGGCTAATGAAAGATCAAATAATAAATTTACTAATTACTAACTAGAGGTAACTAGATACATGTACCACGGTATGATCTTGAATTGTTATATATGCGTCAACAAGGTAGATGTCTCAAACTCAATTTGTGAGTCAACATCTGATGGGTGTCTGGCCCATAAGCTATAAGTAATTGTGAGTCAACTTGCAAATTTTTCATTTTAAAAATTGGGTACTTATCATCCATTGACATCCTAACATTTATAAAAGGACGTGCATGGTAGGGCCGTAAAAGGGTTTGAATTTGAATAGGGTATATCGTCGTCATCATCACCAATTCATCATCATGTATCATCATCATCATCATCATCATCATCATCATCATCATCATCTAAGCTTTATCTCAACTACAATTATATAGTGTCGAACACGTGAATCTTGTTTCACGATTCTGTTTTGTTTAGCATCATATCCATTGTTAAATTATGAGCGTTTAAATTATTTTACTGTTTTGACTCATGTCCTTAATCTGTACGGCTGTACCTAACTGTCTAACCCTTTTAACTTGCAATAAATCTCACTTACCCAAATTCAATCCCATTACACCCAAATTATATTTTGGATTCATATTCTTGAAGGATCTGTTTCAACCAAAAAGCTTAAGCTATTAGGTGAGGTCCCAAATTAGGTTTTTATTCTCTAACACAACCCATCATGTGAAAATCTATTGGGCTTGAAGTGTGAATAAGCATAGGCCCATCCATACGATGTTCTAAAATTTTATTAATTATAATGGGGGCGACAAAGATCAAACACTAAACTATTTGATCAAACATGCTCTAATACGATCTCAAAGGAACTATTCAACCTAAAAGTTGAAGTTATTAGGTGAGGCCCCTGAATTCTCTAACACATATTTTTAACAAAAGTAGTAATATTATCACATTTGATGCAAGTTTGGCTTAATAAATTCTGATTCGAATGGGGGATCAATCACCCTGACAGTACTAGGCCCTATAGAACTCAGGCACTGGTTAAAAGTTCACCTAACCGTGCAGTCTCTAGGCCTACTCTTTACTCAAAGTGGTCTTTCTCTTATGTGATAATCATAAATGAAGTCACATGCCACTGATCATCATATATTTCACTTAGAAGTACTAATTTATATACAAAGGTCTTAGATTGAATTACCTAGTTTTTTCCTCATAATTTAGCTTTTCTGAGAATAATTATGTAAAGACTAACACCATCTTCATCGTTCTAATAACCACTCCATCTATGGAAAACTGGAAACACAGGTGCCTTGCTTGTTAAGTGTCAAAGTGTTAACATGTTTAAGCTTAATTAAATCAGTAAAAGAAATATGATTACTGCTTTAATCAAAAAGCTTAAAAAAGCAATTCTGAAGTCAAGAGCTTGAAAGCTTCATCCACTGCACGTGTCGGGAAGTGGACCATTTGATTACCCAATTAATATAAAAGAGTTGAAGCCCAAATCCTTGATGATGCACCGTCTTTGTGAGTTATGGCATATTTACGCATATATTATGTTAGAAGAAATGATTCTGAGATCCAGACATCATTATGGGTATCAGTATTTTCATAAAAACAAAGAGAAAAGCAGAGATAGGTGTCCTTAATCATTTCTTTTTTTGGGTTCTAATAATTATTTTGTATCAAGTAATGGGACCAATAACCGTACAAGGCTTCCCCAAAGTTCATGTTTTTTGTTTGAGCTTACCTACTCAAATCCATTTCACACCATCTAAACTATGGACCCACCCTCCAGAATCTCTGCTTTAATTGGGTGTTTGTAGCAATGAATCCATCCATGGCGCGCTTGTCGGTTCGGGTTATCTGATGATGGTTTAAGGCTTTAAGCCTAAAGCTAAAATGTGCTTCAATTTTTTATAAGAACTTGATTATAACTTATAAGAAACCCATGATGCAGCATAGCTGTGGCATAATTTGTAGCAGATTAGCAGTGAATGGTAGATGTTGAGAAATTGGAAAAGCTGATGAAAAAAATTGTGTTGAGAACAGTGTGTTTACTATTAAGTGACATCTCAACGGCAGGCCTGGAAATTGTTCTCTGAGGTGTAGTAATGATTTTGGAGGAATCTGGAAATACAAGCAAAGCTTCCCTTTACTCTCTGCTGGTCTTGCATACCTGTCACTACTCAACTTTTCTCTTTTATTCTTTGCTTTTGCCTTAATCTCTCTCTCTCTCTCTCTCTCATATTCATATCCAAATTTAAAAATGATTATAGTATGGAGTTGCTTTCTTGGAGTTTGAATTCAGATATTTCAATGCGTGTTCCTTCAAAGTGTTGTCGAGCTTCCATCTCATAACCTCACGTATCCTTCTCAGTAACAGGCCTCCTTACTTGGTAATGTTTCCTGCCTTAAAACATATTTTACATTTTTCTGTGTTTGTGTTAGTTTTAAAGTTTGATCAGATCTATAAATATATTTTCCTATGTGGGTTTTGATGTTAAATGTGGAATTTAAAGGCACGACCAGTTGTTTATGGCATTCATGTTTCTTGGGTGACTCTTGGAATTTGAATTTTCTGCTACCCTTCTGCTACTGCTCTGTCTTTGTCTCTTTCTCTTTGCATATCCCATGCAGATCTGATTAAGGTTGCAAAAAAGAAACATGTGGTAACTGCCACTGAAACTGGCTTATGTTTCTGTAACTTGGTTGTTCTGAAGGTGGTCATCCATGGAGGCTCAGAATGAAGAAACCAAATCGAAGATGGATGAATATGAAGTGATAGAGCAGATTGGGAGGGGAGCCTTTGGAGCTGCATTTCTTGTTCTCAATAAGATGGACAAAAAGAAGTAGGATGCTTTCTCTTTTTCTTTTTTTCTGCTTTCTTTTCCTTTTAATAATGCCTGCTACATCAGAGATCAGTGTTTCTTGGTCTATTTTCTCTGAGGAGCTTGCTTTTCTGTTTTCTCCCCATTTCTATATACAAATTGGCATTAAGGACGTGTTTGACACAAACAAAATTTGTCTCTCAAACATGTTGCTTCAACTCTTTCCTAGCTGCCTGTTGGGACGCGGTGAAATCGGCTGTCCAGACATGAAACAAGTCTAACCAAGGGGACCCTGTTTTTGGTTTCTGAATTTGGTGTGAAAGAGCCAAAGAGAGAAGCCAAACTCAATAGGCCCTCCGCGTTTTCCTTCTGTTCCCAACTTCGTTCTCATTGGATTCAATGATGCTATTCTGGAAAGTTATTTCTTCAGAAAGAACAAATTCCACATCCTACTGAAATTTTCATTTGATCAGTGCCCTTTTTCTTACAAATGATGTTCTAGTGTTCAACTTGATTTTCTGTTTTGTTGCTTGTAGATATGTACTGAAGAAAATCCGATTGGCCAAACAAACAGAGAAGTTCAAGCGTACAGCGCATCAAGAGGTAGCTTAGCTTTTTGGTTGTTTAGTTCTTTCTAGCAAATATTCCTGTATACGGTATAATGGAGCAAGACAACACTGTAGCACCTTTTCTGCCTTCTATGAATGGTTTGTAGAAATATGTTTGTCACAGTTAAGAGGTCCATTGAATGGCCTAGAATTCTAGGCTAGATATTTATAGCTGTCAATGGGTTGGGTCTGGTTCGGGACAGGGTGGGTCAGTCCCAGACCCAAACAGTATGATTAGTCGGTTCTACAAGATTTACGCAGAACCAAACCAATTATTAATCGGGATAATCAGTTTTGACCTGAGACCCAATCATACTTGACATCTGCCTATGATAATAACAACTTAGAACTTATTTCTGATAATATAACCTTACTAAAAATGACAGTAAAATAGTAAACTGTTAATATGTTGATGAAACAAGTGTTTAACTAAAATTATCTTCTATATTGTCTATCCCTTTTAGACTTGAAATATAATCAAAATTACAAGAAACTAAGAACCTTTATATATTATTAACTATATAATTGATTTGAAACAAATAAACCACAGGACCAGAACCGATTATATCGGTTCAGTTCTCTTGGGTAAACCCAACCCATTGACATCTCTACAGATATTACATCCCATACGAAGAGGGAAGAAAAGTTTGAAGATATTTCGTGGTGGGTAACAATTAAGAGGTCCATGGAATGACTATCAAGAGTAGCTCCCGCATTGCTCTGCTCTTCAATTTTGGTCTTTGGATTTAAAATAAGATCATTTCTCACTTGGGCTCCATATTGTTGTGATGATATTAAACAATGGCTACTTGGTACTTAGAATAGAACCCTCTATTTTGTCAGTTTATTTATTTATTTTATTTGTGCAGATGAACTTGATTTCAAAGCTTAACAACTCATATATTGTGGAGTACAAAGATGCTTGGGTGGAAAAGGTAAATGTGTAGTGTTACTATTTGCTATAGAAAGTTTAAGTGAGACAAAAAAAGACAAAGTTGCAGACTATTAGCTGGTCAACAATTCCAGGTTTCTAACCAAAAGGATATGTGTATTTGAGTATTGACAATTTACATTCTACAGGGATGCTTTATATGCATCGTGACGAGCTACTGTGAAGGGGGAGACATGTAGGGCCTCACAAATATGTGTATTCTTTAAGTTTCTTGGGTATCCCCAATTGTAAGGTGGATTTGAGTTTAATATCTTCAGGTGTTCTGTTGATCAGGTCTGAGATGATAAAAAAGGCTCGAGGAGTGTTTGTTCCTGAGGAGGTAAGGAAAACAACCAAATGTACCGAAGTTTTATCTAATTGATAAAAGAACTTCAAATCCTCTCATGGTGTTGCTCATGCAAATGTGCAACAACTCTGCACTGTTTTGCTGTCACCCAGAAGCTCTGCAAATGGCTGACCCAATTGTTGCTAGCATTGGACTACTTGCACTCCAATCGAGTTCTCCATAGGGATCTTAAGGTATATATGAACATGACTTGCCTTTGTAGTTTGAAGCTAGGAAAGAGATTGCTTGTTGTTGAATCATTTTAAGTAACCACAGCCTTTATGCAAATCCAGTGCTCCAACATATTTCTGACAAAGGACAACGATATCCGGCTCGGTAAGAATGCTAATTTTCCTGGCACATTAACAGTCAGGAAAGGCTTATTAATCAATTGAAAGGATAATTTTTCATACATGCTATTGCACAGGTGACTTTGGACTTGCAAAATTGCTTAACACTGAAGATCTTGCTTCCTCGGTATGAAGCCCATTTTCTCTTATCAGTAATATCAATCAAATGTACCTTTGTGATCTTATAATTTTTCTTTGATTTTTGGTTCTTATTTGGGTATCTTGCATTTCAATCTCTCAACTCATAAACTCTGTGATTGATCATGAGTTATCTCAAAAATAATTGAAAGCTTTAGACTAGATTGAATGAAATTATCATTTACTTTCACCACTATCCAATGTCTAGAACCCTGAAGCCCCTCCCCATGTATCCTTTGTATCCTTTTCCATCCAGATGCTGGTTCAGAAGAGTTCTAGTTAAGCTTTTGGAGCATTTGGCTGAATCTAAATTCTAATCAATCTAATTTACTATACATATTGTACAGGTTGTGGGAACTCCCAAGTATATGTGCCCTGAACTTCTTGCAGATATTCCTTATGGCTACAAATCAGATATTTGGTCATTAGGTGGTATTTGTGGTTGCATTTTTCTCTTCTTTTTTTCCCCAGTAAACTGGATAACTTCTACATGTTTGAGTTTTGATCATCCAAAAGCTGACATTGTTCTAATTTTTCAGGTTGCTGTATGTTCGAAATTGCTGCACAGCAACCTGCATTTAGAGCTCCTGTAAGACTTCACTTGGGCTAGGTTTCTTGGTTCTCTGAGTTTTACATGCCTTAAGTAAGATGATTGTTTTAATAGCATCTCAATTAAACAGGATATGGCTGGATTGATCAACAAGATAAACAGATCCTCCATTTCTCCGCTCCCAACTGTGTATTCCTCCTCACTGTAAGTTTAATGTCCCCAAAAATCATTCTGGTACGCTTTCAACAAATTGAAGTCAATGTATTTGAATTTCATACTAGTTACCTGCTCTCTATTGGGTCAATAATTGTAACAACTAAAGGAATTTCCCCCTTTTACCTGTATTACAGGAAGCGATTGATTAAGAGTATGCTGAGAAAGAATCCAGAACATAGACCAACAGTGAGTACAAAATCCCCACTGCATATGTAATCAAATATAATCTGATAACTCATTCTTATGCCTACATCTGTCCGCAATTTAGGCTGCAGAGCTGTTGAGGAATCCCCATTTGCAGCCATACCTTGCTCAATGTTGCAACCCATCTCCTGTCTTTCTTCCAGTAAAACCTATAACAAACTCAAGGGATACTCCGATGCTAAGTCGAACTTCTATCAAGTCTAGTGCAAGCAAAGACAACAGAAACAAAGAGGCAAGATTTGATGCACCAAGAGGGCAAGGAAATTGGGGGGTAACTGACAAGGAACTATCTACAGTTTCTGTCCCCAAAGCAGATAAACTTGAGACGAAAATGGTTGATCCAACAAGTTATTCTGAGAAAGCATCCAGAGATGATAAAGTTCTCCAAGGAGGGATTAGCAATGGTGAGATGATTGTTCATGGTGAAGAAAAACAAGGCGATCCCAATTTCGCCCTAGAAATGGAAAGCATTGACACAAATACAACCTCAGATATCATACCAATAGGCGGCTACAAAGACAAAGGGCATGAACAAACGCCTCAACACTCCCAGTCCCAGCAACCAGAAGTGGTGGATATCATGACAAAAGGAGTGATCAAAGAGGATATATCGGCAAGGGTTACCCCAGAAGTTCCTAGGAAAACTGATACGGAAGTTGGTATTGCTACTTCACAAAACACCCCTAAAACAGAAACGTCCAGTTCTAGCTCTAGCTCTGCGGTTGTGACTGGGTCCTCCAACGATGAAGTTCCAAAATCAACCATGCCAACTATGAGTCATGACCCCTTTGTAGAACAGAGTTGCACTTTACAGCAAGTGGAGAAATCTGATCCTGATGCATACCCAACGCGTGCTCCCCCAGATTGCACTTCATCAGAAAATACAGCCACAGTTCTCCCTGGAGATGAAGTTGGGCTAAAAACAATTGATCTTAGTCAGTCAGAACAAACAGGAATAGATGATATTCATGAAGTCAATTGGATTACCAATGGCGTCTCACTGACGAATACACTAACTGCTCTGAATGGTGATGGCACAAGGATCGAGTGGGATAATCAAAGCCAGCAAAGAGCTGAAGCTTTGGAGTCTTTGCTCGAGCTGTGTGCACGATTACTTCAACAGGACAGACTAGAGGAACTTGCAGGCGTACTGAGACCATTTGGGGAAGAAGCTGTCTCATCCAGGGAAACAGCAATTTGGTTGACAAAAAGCCTCATGAATGCACAGAAATTCGGGAATGGAAACTGATATATCAACAATAATAAAGAGGGTCTCTACTTGTGCTAATGGGCACGCCAAATTTTAAATTCATATACCAATATCTGTAATATAGCTTGTTTCGATCTACATCGAGCCTTACACTGGTTTACTGTAAAGCTGCCTGTGTTATTTTACAGTGAACCATGAATTCTTCGCTTGTTTGCTGAAATTGAAACAGAGGTGAATTGAATTGTACTGGCAGTTAGAACCGAGTCAATAAAGCTTCATGTAGTACTGAAACATGACAAAATTATACTGCGAAGCAATCTTTTATAAAACTCCATAAGAGAAAAAGAGAAATTGTTATTGATAACGAAATTCAGAACTCATCTCGACAGTACAGTAAATAACAACCCAGCTGACATCCCCACGACGCAAATAGGAGATTCGAATTCTTAGCGAGCTGAAGAGTTAGTGTTAGAAGTTAGAACCTGTTACCGGCTCTGTTTCTCCATTTTCCTAAAGAAACTCGTTGGCTTCAGCGACGATAGAGCAGGAATGCCAATAAGGACGGGAACGCAAGTGCAATGAAGCTCTGAATGGAAACTCCCGTAATTGGGGAAGATCGAGTAACGTGGCGTAGGGCCCTCAATCTCTTTATTTTGAAATCCGAATTTTGACAAAGGCATTTGGATTTTTGATTTTTCATAATCCAACTCATCTCAAATTCTGAAGACGTCGAGAAAATCAAATTACGAGCTTTTCAAGGATGCAAGACAAAGATCTGATCTTGGTCGGGGAGCACGAGTAATCTCCAGCAAAACTAAAATGAACGTGTGTGATGGTTTCTTCTGGTAACGTCAGAACTCCACCAAGGGTGGACGATGTGACCAAACTAGGTAGATTGAAGCTCGGAAATGAGAGATAGGAGTTTATCTTTAGAGAAGCCGGGTTAGGGTTCTGGGAGACGGAACAGATGGAAGATACAGAAATCGGAGAAGATTCAGGAGCTTGGTGACAAATCCAGCAGAAATGAAAGAAATCATCTTTGTTTGTCTTCTCCTTTTGCTTTTGGCAGGATTTGAAAATTCCACCTCCACCGTTAAAATCCGTTAATCCTACAAAATTCCACCCGCCAAATCTTCGCTCGAGAATTCTGAATTCCTCACTTTTTTTGCACTCCTAATCTATTTATGAATTATGACCCAAGCCCAACCCATGTACCTAGTCTTTGGGTTTCACGTTTCAGGCCCTTCCCCCTTCGCATGTGTTACTGTTAGTGGACCTAGGTTGGCCTTGGAATTCTTCTCAGGTAAAGTTGGCCTCAGGGCTCAGGCCCATGACATGACGAAAACAGAAACGTAAAAAGAAATTTTAATTGGCTCATGGACGTATATACATATATATATAGATAAATAAAGTACAGGCGCAGAATGGCTCCATTTATTATAAATGCATCAAAGGTGTAAACAAATCAAACTGATTTGAACTCAAACCAAGTTCAGAAATGAATCAAACAATCAAAGAGAAGAAACTCTGAATCAAATAAAATCGAACAGAAAATTAATGGATTCAATCCGGTTCAATCCACCATCGTTCCACCTCTTCGATATCTCTTCTCCGGGTGAGGCTACTGCGAGTAATAAGCCAAGAAAGAGAGAAGCGAAGCTCCGACCATGGATCCGATGACAGGCAAGGTCGCGGTGGAGCCACTGGTTGGGCTTGGCGCAGGTGCCATGGTCCCCTCGGCAGCCAATGCTGCGCTCATGGAGGCAGCAGCGACGAGGACAGCGCAGGAGATCTTCTTCATGTCCATGGCGGGTGGTTTAATTGGCGAAGAGAGCGATAAAAATCGCAGAAAACCCGCCTTGGAGATGTGGAAAAGGGAGAAGAGATTATTGATTGCTTATTTGCTTTCTCTTTGCAGGCCTGAAGAGAATTTGGGTTGTGGGTGGAATTTATAGGAGAGGATTTGGGCTATTTTTGCAGCAAATTTCGTTTTGGTACTCGAGATTTCCGCGGAATTGGTTGGTCATCTAATTTTTTTCCTTTTTTTGAATGTTCTAATTTTGAATTTTCTTATTAACGATGTCATTTCATGGAATCAGTCCTCTTATTGTCTTTCTCTCTCCACCTTCCAAATATATGTTTAAGTCAAACTTTAAATATTAAAATTAAATTAACTAAAAAAATATCTAGCACTTATATACTAATAAGAATAGTATAAGATAATAAAATAAGATAAATAATTAAAGCAACGTAATACAACTAATAATTGATTATAAAATCTTATTCTAATTAAAAGAAATTATACAATTTGTCTAATAATTAATGGTTGTTATAACTAAAAAAAGTTGCAATACAATCCATTTAAATTCTATTTAGAGATAATAAAAAATAATATAAATTAATTAAGAAAAACAATGACATTTATAAAATATTAAATTTAAAATTAAATTTACTATACTAAAGTAAATTTAAATTCTATTTAAAGTAACTAAATTTAATAAAACTTAGTAACAATAAATACATTTAATTTTATTATTAATATTTTATTCATTTTGTTTATTATTATATTTTCACCTCCCCCTCTCTCTTCGTGTCATTATACTCATCCCCTCATCTCTCTTTCTCCTTCTCTCTCTTCTATTAATTATTTTTTAATAATATAATATATCTAAAACTAATTATTATATTAAGTGGACTTAATTTACCTAACATGATAAATTAATTAATTTAATCAATTACATTAATTTAGTCAATTTAAATTAACTTAACCAATGTAATTGGGATGGAGATTGCTTTAGCAAGGATGAGGAATAATTGGGATAGGGACAAGGATGGGGAATGAAGTCCAACCCTAATAGGGAACTATTAGGACAAATTGGACAAATTTTGCAAATAGTTCTATATAATTACAATAACCCCACTACATATATTAAACTCAACCCCCTTTTAAGTTAAGGATTAGGGACATTGATGGGGAGTTACTTAAAAAGGGTATAAATATGGAAAGTATGGTCCCTCCCATGAGCCTCCTGTTCACCATTGTCACTCCTAAATTCTACCATCTTAATATATTATATTATTACAAAATTAGGTAGTAGTAGTAAAAATCAATAATTAATAGTATATACCAATACTTGAAGTTGGTCAAATTAAAATTTTAGTATAATAAATTAAGAAAATTAAAGTAATCATTAATAAATAATACTATAACAAGTATTATTAAGTTATATGTGTAATATTTCTTTAGATGTTTTAAATTATCCATTCAATTTGAAATCATTATTTGTATGGTATACCTATATTTAAATTCCATTTAAAATAAATGAAAATGAAAAAAAATGTAATAAAAATTAGTAAAAAATCAAAATAAGTTTATTAACAAAAAGTAAAAAAAAATTAAACTCATTTCAATTTAATTTAGAATAATAAAAATTAGGGTAAATTACAAAGACCCCCTATACTTTGTTTTGCAACGAAGACCCCCATGTACTATGACTATGAGACAAAGACCCCCTTTCGTTAGCTTTCCATTGAAATCCACTGTTGCAATATTTTTTTAATCCCCATACTGCCCTTGTAATAATATTCAAACAATTTGGAGAAAAACATTGTTCATCTTCCCTGACCTCACGATACATGAACAACAGCAGTGGTAATCCCTTCTACCTCAGATTCCTTTAAATTTCTCTCTCTCTCTCTCTCTCTCTCTCTCTCTTCTTCCCCTTCCCTTTCTCTCCTCCCCTTTCTTCTTCCTGCTTTCCTCTGTTCTGTTTGTTCTGTCCAAACTGTCTAGTCTTCGGACAGTTTGCGACCGTTGGTGCCCTCGAAGTCTTCGAGACATGTGTCCTGGTTACTTAGAGCTGCACTTAACCACGCATGAAGGTTTGATTCAGAATGAACATCTTTCACCTTAGAAGATCGGGTCTCGTCCATCTACGCCAAGGACCACTGCAATTTGGACATTGAGAAGTTAAGGAGTTCCTTGCAGTCTTCAACTGCCATTTGTTCACAAGGATTCATCGACAACACTGTGAACTTGTTAACTACTTCCATGGATTTTTGCGCTTCGTTCATCGATGCCTTGATCACGACACCGAGGACTGCAGCTGGACTATGGCTGTCCATTAGTTCATATTCGGTCTGGAAGTTGGAAAAGCAGGTTTCGGGGTTGGCCATGCCCACACAAACTTGTTGAATCATGTCTCACATTGTGGTTTGGTGATCTTCTCGAGAAAAGGTTGAATTAGAAAGGGCATTGAGGGAAGTAGAGGATTTTTGGCAATCATGTCAATTGAACAAGCATGTTTTTTGGCAGTACCCTATTGTTCGGACTACTTCCAGGTGGCCAATGACTTAGAGGCCGAAGTGGGGGAGTTTTGCTAGATGAGGACTTGGATGCCGAGCTGACTAAGCCGAGTTGGGGGTAGATTGGGTGCCGAGTTAGACTGATGGCTGAGTTGGGTAGCTCTTTAGAGAAACCTGCAAGGAATCAATGTTAGAGGACCTAGGGTGGCTAGCCTGGCGAGGTCGCTCCGATGCTTAAGTCAGTATTGTGTTGTCTTAGTTGCGAGCTGAAAGCTTGAGTGTAGAGAGAAGCCACAGGGAGCTTGACCTCCGGGGGCACCTCTACTAACTGTAGGTCACCGACTCGATCGGGAGCCTTGAGGGGCTCGACCCGTAAGGGCGTTCGCATAGTTCGTAGGCCGCTAACTCCCGTGGGAGTTGCAAAGGGTTCAATCTGTAGGGGAGACCTCACGAAGAGGACTGATGATGCTTATATGGGCTGAAATAAAGTCAGCAGAGTTGATTAGTATGTTTCCATCAACTTCCTACGGGAACCATGACTGGCTCGACCTGCTGGGACAACCTTACTCCGAGGTGCCTATCGCCAGACTGCTGGTTATTAAGGTCGTTTTGCTGTTGCCTATTCTACACCGACATTAATACGCCGAGCTGCTCCCATGCTCACATCTGGAAATTCATGCTTCATCTCATGGAACTGCCACGATTTGATCCCAGCGAGAACTACTGAAGGCTCTACCGCGGGGAGAGGGGCGTTCACATACGGTAGTGGGGTATTTATCTGGGGCACTGGGGATGCTGAGTTTGGCCTGAACTTGTCTAATTGTCACAGAGGAGTTCTCCAGGTTCATCATAGATGTTTTTTCCCCTAGTAATCGGTATTCATTCTGGGTGTTGATGCTGCTCAAAAGTGCCTTTGAGTTCATAAAAATGGAAATTAGAAAGTGAGAACTTTAATTTCTAAAAGGTGAGATCTTTAGTTTTCTGGAAGATGAGAACTTAGCCTTTTAGAAGGTGAGAACTTAGCTTCTTGTAGTGTTTCCCACAGACGACGCCAATTGATGAAGCATGCTTTTTGGCAGCACCCTGTTGTTCGGACTACTTCTAGGTGGCCGACGACTCAGAGGCCGAAGTGGAGGATTTTTGCTGGATGAGGACTTGGATGCTGAGCTGGGTAGCTCTTCAGAGAAATCTGCAAGGAATCAATGTTAGAGGACCCGGGGTGGCTAACCCGGTGAGGTCACTTCGATCCTTAAGTTAATATTGTGTTGTCTTGGTTGCAAGCTAAAAGCTTGAGTGTAGAGAGAGCTAGTGAGCAAATAATCACACGTACATTTTCGTGTCATTGGGGTTGGTGCCTTTATATAGGCTTTGTTTGGCGTGGGTTTCATGCATCGCATCCGAGAGTTCCGGGAGGTCGCTTAACCGGTCCGAGATCCCCGGAGGTAACCGCCACGCACGTTGGCCATCCTCCAGAACACTCGGTATGTGGGCCAACTTCCGAGAAACTTGGGAGTGTTGGGATATGCATACCGAATTTGTCGGCGAGCACAACTCGTAGGTCGCCTCCTGGACCTCAGTCAGGTTGGCAAGCCATCGAGGGAGGTCGCTCATTGTGTTGAGGTCACATCGGCCAGTGACGAGGTGCTACAGGTCGGCCCTAGACGAGGTGCTCCTAGCCGGCCTAAGTTGTGGTCGAAGTCGCTAGGTTGGCGGTAAAGGCAGGTCGCCAGGTCGGGGCGAAGATGAACTACGATCTGGGACTCTAAATCATCGCCTAGGTGGAATTTGGGTGTCGTCCAACTGTTTCGGGATGCCATGTGTCACAATGTCATTGGAAGGACAAATCCATCCTCATCAGAAGGGAAAAAAAGGAGGAGAAAGAGAATAGCTATGACATGATGATGGTAAGAGTACTATGAAACGTGAGAGAGAGAGATGAAAGAAAGGGATGGAGGGGTGGTCTCTTT